TACCTGTGCAGGTGTGTCATCATGTTACTGATGTACCTGTGCAGGTGTGTCATCATGTTCCTGATGTACCTGTGCAGGTGTGTCATCATGTTACTGATTTACCTGTGCAGGTGTGTCATCATGTTCCTGATGTACCTGTGCAGGTGTTTCATCATGTTACTGATGTACCTGTGCAGGTGTGTCATCATGTTCCTGATGTACCTGTGCAGGTGTTTCATCATATTACTGATGTACCTGTGCAGGTGTTTCATCATGTTACTGATGTACCTGTGCAGGTGTGTCGTATGGGGAAGCGTGTGAAGGAGGACCTGCTGACGGTGGTGCGGACGGTGCAGGACTGTTACCCTCCACAGATGGACATCCTGAACCTTTACTCTGGACTCTACCATCAGACGTTCTCCACTCGGCTGACTGAACTCGCCGCATCTGGACTGGAAACAGACGACTGCAGCTACCTGCTGTTCTGGATCAATCACTACTATCCACAGTGAGTCTGACGGTGTGAACGCATCACTTCCTGTACGACTGAATCTTTAACACGGACTGAAGCATCAGTGTGTTTGTTTCCTCCTGCAGTGAAGTCCTGAAACATGAAGAACTGGAGGGGAAGATAAAGACGGCCTGTCTGGGTTCTCTGCTGCTGCAGGATCAGCTCACCCGACTGGAGGACCAGTACCTGAACCACAAAGAGGTACAGACCAGTGACTGATGGGAACTGGTCCCAGTCAGAGGAGCCTCTCATGTTCTTTGAGGGTTTGTTTCCTGTCACGTCACTGTAACATCTTTCCTTCAGGACAAAGTAAAGCTGTGGCTGAATACAGCTCTGAGTAAAGAGGAGGAGAGCTGGCTGAGCGGGCACACACCTGAACTCATCGACCAGTACTGCTTCAGTCCACTGGCCATAGATGTCATACAGGTGAGACTCAGGTGGAATACTCAGTATAAACCACAAGGAAACACCTGTAATCCAGGTGGTGATATGAACAGGTGTGCAGCAGGTGTACCTGGATGTGTCTCTGTGTTGGTGTCTCCAGGTGATAAACAGCTCCCTGACTGAACTGAACTGTGTGGTCAGAGACCAGAGGAAAGCTCAGAGGATCACAGCTCACCTGGAGAGCTTCCTCAGCAGGTAGACTCCGCCAACTGGACTCATGAAAATGAATGAGGTGTATTGTCCAAGGTGTGATGTCAGTGTGTGTTTCAGCTACAGGAAGTGTGTGGAGGAGTTCGTGAAGGGAGCCCACGGTAACGTCCGCTCAGTGGTCAAAGCTCACCTGGTCTGTGAGCAGCAGTTCAGGTACGATCAAACACCTGTTGCACCTGTCGCACCTGCACTCACACACCAGTCACTTTAAGACTTTATGTCCTGAAGCATTCTGGGAAGTGTAGAAAGATGGACTCTGCTGCTGATTGGCTCTCTGTGACTGTCCTCAGGGATTACATCACAGGTCAAACAGGAAGTCTGTCGGAGGAGCAGAGACATCGCTGTCTGGACACTCTGTCCGCCCTGAAGGATTGTGGGTACAGGTGTATCACCTGTCCCATTCACACCCAGATGAAGGTACAAATACTGCAGTCATACATGTTTATCCACCGATCACTATTGTCACATCCCATAATCAATAAACACAAACAATCATTGATCAGGGCGAAGAAAACATTGATACACTCCAGTATCAGGACTGATGGGAGGAGTCATTCAACCACAGGGTGGACTGGTGGGAGGAGTCATACAACCACAGGGTGGACTGGTGGGAGGAGTCATACAACCACAGGGTGGACTGGTGGGAGGAGTCATACAACCACAGGGTGGACTGGTGGGCGGAGTCATACAACCACAGGGTGGACTGGTGGGTGGAGTCATATGTCATATGTGCTGTAGAATCCAACGTTCTGCTAACGCTGCTGTGTGCAGACAGACGCTGTTAAAACCCTTTTGAATTTGAGACATTTCCACTGTTGGTTTTTATGCACAAATTGGAAATACAGATATAAAGAGTTGGATGGAAACACACAGAGTGGACCGGTCTGTCTGTCAGTACCTGAGGGTGGTGGAGATGTGCTGTCTGTCTCTCAGAGATAGATCATAAAGATACTGAACTGATTTGTTTTTTGAATTTTTATACAAGTAATATTCACACTGGTTTAAATCAACAGTTTGATTGTATGTATTATCTTAGCTGAGCTCAGAGTGTTTCCTCATCAATGGTTGTTTTCAGGCAAGTTTCAGCCCCCTGTGGACGCCGGTCTGGTTGGACGGGTCACTTCCTGTCGTCGACTTGCTGCTGGACTCTCTGAGCCAACAGCTGACCGACCTGACCGACCTGAAACCAGCCTGCAGAAAGGTGAGACAGTTTACCTGTGTGTTTACCACCTGTCTGTCCATCTGACTGACCTCCTGTCTGTCTGTCTGTCTGCAGTCCCTGCTGTGTGTCCTCCATCAGGACCTGGTTCTGCAGTATGTGAAGAGGATGATGAAGACCAGGACGAAGAGCAGAGAGCAGCAGGTGGGCGGAGCTCAGAGGATGACTGAAGACGCCCAAAAGATCAACGACTTCTTCAAACAGGAGGTGAGACACCTGCACACTCACACTCACACACACTTGCATGTTCAGTATCAGACTGTGGGATCTTCCTCTTGTGTTTTACTGGAACTTTCTGACATCACAACCTCCAACATGTGACACTACAGATGTGGTACAGATGTGGTCCTCTGACAGTCCTGTGTGCGTGTCCTCAGGGCTGCAGTGAGTCTCTGTGGCTCGGTGAGATGCTCTGCAGCGTCGCTGAGGTTCTCCGTCTGCAGGATCCAGGAAGTGTTCAGCTGGAGGTCGTCAGTCTGGCCAGAACGTTCCCTGACCTCAGGTACATAGGTACTAGATAATGACACAACTGATGACATCATCAGCAGCACCTCACCACTGCTTCTGACCTCAGAGGACTCTTCTGTTAGTTGCTATGGTAACAGAGATGCCTCAAGCCGGTAGATTTTTGGTTACCACTGAGCTCATCACCTAAAGGAGCAGTCTGTAGGATTCAGTGACATCTGCTCACCCCTCCCAGCGATGACCTCAGGTAACGTCAAAGTGTGAAAGACACCATCCATGGTCACTCAGTGCGTTTCCATGGTAACAGTGAAGTGGAGCTTTGGACATCTAACTGGCCTACTGTCCTTGTCCCAGTATACAAGCACGGGAGGGGAATCCATTTATTGAGCCAAGTATGTGCGACTCCTCTACGATAGGTGGAGATATGCCCCCTTTCAGCTTGTTAGTATTGGTCCTTTTTCCTGTTGACCTATTACGTCACAGACCAAACAATGGACAAACAAGTTAGCTACGGTTAGCTAGCAGCTAACTGCTACCATGGTGGACAACTTTACAGCTCTGTACATTTGGTCCGTCCAAAAAGTCACGGCTCTGGATGTAGATTTCTCCATGTTGTTACCGGCTTCTTCTTCTCTTACACATTTAATGCTATTGGACTTCCGGGTCAAAGCCCGGGGCGGAAACTGTGGAGCATGCTCAGAGCGCCTCGGCCAGTTTGGGTCTGATTGACTGTATACATGCAGGAGTCACATGATCTGGGTGTGTTAGTCCCACTGTGACACATTCACTGCAGGAACATTTCACTCACACTGACATGTTCACAGGGATTTATATAAATCTGTTTTCTCTGTTGTCATGGAAACATTAAGATTGTTTGGTTTGTCCATTCTGGGCTACTGTAGAAACATGGCCGTGCACAGGCTGATCTCCTGCACTGTTTGTATGTTTCCCTAACTCAAACTTCAGATCTGTGTGAACTTGTCAGGTTGGTCCTCACCGTGTTTTTCTCTAATCCTGAGCTCTGTAACTTTACGTTAAGGATGTAACGTCATTCGTGAGCTGCTAATTCGTAGGATATCATACAAACTATTGTGTGAGGCTACGTTGCAGTGTAACATGGCAGACGCCCCACAAAGGGCTCATTTTAGACTAAAGAAACAAGAAAGACTGAAACCAAAGAAAACGTGTGATGAATATTATTCATCATTTCTGCTGATATTTCCCCTAAAATCCTGCAGACTGCTCTGAGTTCAGTTTCAGTTCCACTTTTTATGTTGAGCTCATGTTTGTTGTCCTCATACAGGAAACAGTCTGAATGTGGAAGTGGAAAAAGAGTCACAGCTCATTCTTCACTCTCACCAAACCAGCCTTCTCACTGGACGTCTCCTGATGATGTCATCTCTGTTTAATATTCACATCACAGTGTTAAAGGAAACGCTGAGTCACAGGGAAGAAGAAGAAGAGGAAGGACGAGGTTTAGGATTTCAAACAGTTCCCTGGTGTCTCTGTATCAGGACTCACTTACACATTTAACATCATCATCATCATCATCAGTTCCTTTAACAGAGATGATCTTTAATCATTAGTGAGTGTTACAGGTTTATGTCTCACTGTGTTTCAGGATATTTACTGTGAATGTAAACTAAAAGTTCTGACTGAAAAACATACAAAGGCAGGAAGTTACTTTTCAGCCCTGAGTATTGTCTGCAGGTCGTCCTCTCAGGCTGTACATGATAACTGTGTGTTCCAGTACCCACACCACCTTTGCATTTAGCAGGATGGAAGAAAGATTTAACCGCACAGAGCCTGTGCTCAGGTGTGTCTACAGGTGTGTACAGTTGTGTACAGGTGTGTGTCTTGCTGCAGAGCGTCGGGCTCTGTGGGGTTAAATCTGTCATTTTGTGTTTTCATATTCACTGATCCTCTGACCTGGATCAATTGTGTGACACCTGGTTGCCGTGGGAGACAGCAGGTGTGGCCGGATGGGGCTCAGGTGTCACAGGTGTGTGAAGTGAAGGGAAAAACACTGAGAGGTTTCATGTTGCAGCAAGAGAGAGAAGCTTTGTGTCTTCATCAATAGATCAGATATTCAGAGTTGTGAAGACGCTCTCAGTTTGGATGGGACACTCTGATTGGCTGCTGCCTCCTCTACTTCCTGTTCAGGACATATTAATGTCTCTTGTGTCATAAACACATGGTGTTCCTGTTTGTCCTCAGCTGACGTTTTTCCACAGAGCTGATCCACGTTTGTTTCACTGGAAGGTTTTTGGTTCGTCTTGTTTGGTCGGGTGTGTCGTCCTGTGACTCAGATGGAAACATGTTCCTGTGGTTTTGGCGCCGCTCCTCCTCGCAGACACAAGACGGGACAGGTTTAAAGACTTCATCACTGAGCTCTGATGAAACGGTGATGGCGATGATGATGATGATGATGATGTGCGTGTCAGTGTCAGGAATGATCTCACACTTTAAAGAACAAACTTCACGTCCATGAGGCCGTCCTGCCCAGACTGTGTCTCTGGTTAAATTCAGTCTGTACACAAACATGATCCCACATGACAAACGTCAACATTTTAAAGAACTGTTTCCTGTCGGCTCTGATTCAGGTACGATGACTTGTTCTTCCTCCGCCACGCTGATAGCTGCAGACAGAGGTGTTGTGTGTTCAGGTTGTCTGGCCCATTCTCATGAACGTGAATTCTCAAAAACACCCTCAGGGAAATTCTTTAAATTTGGCACAAACGTCCCCTTAGACTCAAGAATGAACTGATAAGAAGTTGTTGGTTGAAGGTCAAAGGTCAGTGTGAAGAATTCACACACTACTTATGATAAACTTGAACCCAGATGTCTAACAGGATGAAGTGATGACATTTTATATCCAAAAGGTCAAAGGCCAGCTTCACTGTGACATCATGGCTCATTGGCTGGTGGGCGGAGGCAAACAACTGCAGGAGAAATTCTAGTTTTGATATTGTTTATTTATTATGTTTAGATACTTTATTTTTTATATTTATTTTAATCTTTACTTTACTCAGGTTTCATTTGATTAATAAACACGTTCTTTACTCGACTGAATCTTGACTGCAGTAAATGTCATCGTGTCCACGAGCAACTGAACGTTGGTCTGCTCACAATTAACAATAATGATTTATATAAACAAAAGTAATAACAATAAAGAAATGTGTCTGTAATCATGTGGGCGTTGACCGTCTGCAGGAACTCTTTTCTTCTTTGGTGTTATTTTTGTTCTCACCTGTCCACCAGGTGTTTTTCTGATCGCTCCTGTGTGTCGTCTCTCCACAGTGATGCTCACGTGTCAGCGCTGCTGTCTCTGAAGGGCGGCCTATCAGCTGCTGACATTCGCTCCATTAGGCGCAGCGTGGAGGAGAACCGCCTCCTGGATGTCTCCACCAATCAGAGCCCTCTGTTCTTCTCCAAAGTCAAAGTCAAATGGTTAAATAATAAGATCAATCAGATGGCACTAAAGACTTGAACTGTTATAGCATGTTAGCATGTTAGCATGTTAGTGGTCAGTCAACAGTATTTTATGTGTATTTACAGTGTGTTGCTGTTTTATCACCAGTGTTGGGTAAGGGTTACTTTAAAAGTAATCAAATTACTTTACTGCGTTACTTTTTTGAAACGTAACCAGTTACTTTACTGCATTACTCCCTGAGAAAAGTAACTCAAGCACTTTTAAAGTACTTTTGAGTATTCTACATTTCCTATTGGCCAATGGACCACAGGGCGCTAAGCCTACATTTTTTGTTTCCAAAATTAAAGTTATGGACCACTTGCCCTTCACTGAGATCCAGTTCTCCCATCACAGCCGTCACTTTGACCAGTAGAAACACAGAACAATCTGCTGCCGTAGACAACTGTATGACAACAACACCCCAGTGTTTTAATATTTCCTCTAGGGATGTTACCACACAGAGTAAAAGGGGGAAATGATGGTGTGAAACAGCAGAGGCACTTTGTCAACCCGCTGAGTTAATGTTACTGTCATTAGCATCAAGCTAGCAAACAATGGTACATCCTCGCGGTCAGACATAAAGTAATAACATTAACAAATAGCGGCGGGGCTTTTACTCACCACAACTGCAGAGGCTCCCAGCTTCATTTGAAACAAACTACATTATAGACGGTCCGTTATTTATTAATCCCTCTGTGTGTTTATATATTTACTTTTTATCCGCTCCATTGTCTTTGTAAAGTTAACATATCGCACCGTCATTTCAAACTCAACACTCATTTCAAATTAAAAGCCCCTTATAACCTCGGCTGAGAGAATCCCTCCATTTTCTAAATAGGCTTTTATTCTGAAACATTTGTCAGAACTTCCTGTGGAAGATACAGTAGCTTGACAGTTTACGTATGGCGCTTCAAATGTAGCTCCTGCCATCTGCTGACGCTTTTAGGTGACTACAACAACATGTCGGCTGGCACATGAACAGACACAGTGACTCAAATAATAGTGAAAGTGATAAAAATAGGACAAGAATAACCTGATGACATCACACACGCCGTGAAAGACGACCGGGGATAATTGGTGAGTACCAGCGTGTAGCGTGTACCAGGCATAATGCAAGTCCTGAGTCTGAAATATGTCTGTCAGCGAGTCCTACTCCACCTATTTAGACTCCACCGTAGACAACGGCAGCATTTCTCCGACCACGTAGCGAGCCACAAGCTCCGTGGCTTCTTTCAGACTGATAGGTTTAATGTTATCTCCGTTATTAGAAACAAACAACAGCCGTTGCTGTTTCGGAGCTGAAGGACCAGCGTTCTAAAAGTAACAGAAGTAACTGATATCTTGTTTGAAAATGTACTTAAGTATTTGATTACTCAAACAGCAAACTAACGCGTTAGGTTACTCGTTACTGCAAAAAGTAATCAAAGTACTCTTAAACCCAACTCTGTTTATCACAGTTCATTTTATTTTGAAAGTCAATGCTGATGAAGGACGAAAAGCTAAAAAACATTTTGTACAATGCTTCAAATGTAACAGAACCCAGATCGTGGTGTTCCTCAGGGTTCAATCCTGGATCCTCTTCAGCTCCTCTTTAGAACTTTATCTGTAAGAAACGATACGAGAACATGGTACAAACTGTGATGTTGTGTTCACACCAAACATCATGGGATCTGTCATGTCCTGTTACTCGCGGGAGTTTGAACTTAAGAATATTTTGTGTTGACTCACTTCATAGGTGTGGAAAACTTGCATCATATGCATGTGAAATTGTTGAATTGATAAATGAACTTACGTACATCCTCTGCATCATACGTCCCCAGAGGATCTCAATGCTGATTAGCTATTGCGACACGACTCGGTCACAGAAGTTCAGATTTTGTAGAAATGATACAACATGGTACGAACTGTGATGTTGTGTTCACATCAAACATGACAGAAATTTTCACATTGCACTACCCGCACAAGTTTGAATGCCAGAATATTTTATGTTGACTCGCTTCATAGGCATGTGAAATTGCTGACTCAGATTTTTATCTCTCACAAGTAAGCGTATGATGCAAAATCGCTCTGCTTGCTTCATTCACGCTGCTTTGCATCGTGTTCATTGTGCAGCCCGATGGGAATTTACATCTAATCACATTTTTACATTAACTTTACCTGTAATTCCCTCACACAAATTGTTTTATTCACACCTGGTGTGAATGCAACATAACTGTATGTGAAGATAACAGTACCAGATGAGTGTAACAGAACATGGTGTTCCTCAGGGTTCAATCCTGGATCCTCTTCTGTTCCTCTGTAAGAAAGGATACGAGAACATGGCACAAAGTGTAACGGTATGTAAAAATGAATATGACACAAACCAGACTTTATATATTGATTGTTAAAATAAGGACGTCAGGTCTCTGACAGCTGTTGTCATGGTAACGAGCTCTACAAAATACCACAAACAGGGAAGCAGACTTAAAATATGTAATTAATTCGCATAACTGCTGGTTCACGAGTTCCACCACGCAGAGCTCATGTGACAGTTAACAAAGTCATTGAGCACGGTTACATGCGCATAATAATCAGATAACTGGGAATAATCAGGTAATGGTAATAAAATGATTTGACGTGTTTACGTGCACTTCAATGATCTTACATGATTCAGTTCTCCTCAAGTACATGACATAAAACTCAAACTTCCTGTTACAGTAGATACTCATATCCTTGAAAAACCATCATATATTTGCAGAATAAAGCACTCATCATGCTGACAGCTTATATTCTTACAGTACTGTTTGTTTTTATCATTAACAAATACATGTGAGAGCATTCTAATGTGTAGTTTATCATTGTGGAGCCAGTTTTACATACTTTGGGTAGATTCGGAGTAAAAGTACTGCAAAGTGCAATATACAAGTGTATTGTATATAAACTTGTCACACAAAGTGCATAACATATAAGTAAGATAAAATAAAAGTGACAATTTAAACACTGAGAATATAAAAATATATTATTTTATGTCAAATCTTTATCTGAAAGGAAACAAAAGCTGTCATATTAACGTAGTGGAGTAGAAAGTACAATATTTCCCTCTAAAGTGTAGTGGAGTGGGAGTATAAAACAGCAAAACCTGAAAGAAACCAGATTAAAGGGTATACATGCACCGAGTAATCTGACTATTGGGGAAAAAGCCAGATGTGTTTATCTGATTTCTCATAATCAGATAATGGCTTTTATCTGATAAAACCTATCGGATCATGCTGTTTATATGACCACTTGAATAATCAGGTAACTCCAGAAATCAGATACTGATCGGCTTATTAGTGTGCATGTAAACGCGCTCATTGTTGAAGAAAGTGACACCTGATGATGTCACTGTGTCACATGATCAGCGTGATCTCTGTCACCAGACTTTACTCAATAAATGTTTGATGTCGTGGAGCTGCTCTGATGTCTCTGTCTTCTGTCTGTCCCGACTCTCTGTGGTTCTCCGCAGTGATGTCACAATGATCTTATGACGCAGTGGTCATCCTCCATCTGTGCAGGCTTCATCAGACAGAGGCCCAGTGTGTGTGTGTTTCAGCTGTGTGTGGGTCACACAAAGATCCACTCAGTGAGTCACAGGACCTCCTGACCTCTGATTCGCTGAACAGGAAGCAATGAGTGTAAACACACACACACACACACACACACACACACACACACACACACAGATCCTTTATATTTAATCCTGTATCTCTGTCAATATTTTACACATTAAAGCACGTAACACCCCTTTAAGTTCACAGAGTTTCATTTTTAGTTATGAAACCACATGTATTCATAAAGCAGGATTAAAACACCCAGAGTGCCGTACAATGAGATTAAATTATTAAAGTAACAGAACAGCAAAATGTAAGAGAAATAACAAACCTCAAATCCTGCAGAAATAAAGGAGTAAAAAGAAACTAAAGCTCACAACAGTCAGATGTGGCAGTAAAAATGAAAACTAAAACAAACGTTGAGGACAATCAGCGGCCTCAGAAACATGTGACTCTGCAGCGCAGATTTAAACATGTCCACAGAGGAGGAGTGCCTCAGTGAGGAGGGTTAACTGTTCCCACCTGTTCATCTACACCTGTGTTCAAAGAACTCACATTAAATTAAAGATGGTGCCATTTACTGCAGGCTGTGTCCTCACAATTACAAACCCATCTGCATCATGACTATCTCTTCTTTTCTTTGGTAAAACACTCAGTATCAATCTGTAACTAGATTATACTCTGATTCTACGAGAACTAGAAAAAACATGAATAAACTATATGAATAAAAAACTTCAATGAAATGAATAATGAGTGTGGATGCTTCTGCAGCATCACTGTTGATATTCAAATCTTTATTCTTATTATTTCAGCAACTTTTCGGTTCATTACTCCTTCTGCATACTTTGTGCTACAGACACTGTTCCACTGCCAGAATGTTCAGCTCGTTCAGGGCATTATTACATGGCTGCTATGACTTTTCATACTTCTATTTATACTTTTTATGATATTAAAGGGATAGTGCACCTAAAAATGAATATTCAGCCATTATCTACTCACCCATATGTCGAGGGAGGCTCAGGTGAAGTTTTAGAGTCCTCACATCACTTGCAGAGATCCAAGGGGAGAGGAGGTAGCAACACAACTCCACCTAATGGAGGCTGACGGCTCCCCAGATTCAAACGTCCAAAAACACATAATTGAAACCACAAAATATCTCCATACTGCTCGTCCGTAGTGATCCAAGTGTCCTGAAGCCCCGACATAAAAAGTTGTTTGGAAAAACCTCATTTGAACTCTGTTTTTAGCCTCATTGTAGCCTGTAGCTCTGACTGCCTCTCTGGACACCGTGCTCACGTGTGTTCACGTGCTTTTGCTGGTCTTGTGCACAAGAGTGCACACGTGAGCACGGTGCCCAGAGAGGCAGTCAGAGCTACACTTTTTATGTCGGGGCTTCAGGACACTTGGATCACTACGGACGAGCAGTATGGAGATATTTTGTGGTTTCAATTATGTGTTTTTGGACGTTTGAATCTGGGGCGCCGTCAGCCTCCATTAGGTGGAGTTGTGTTGCTACCTCCTCTCCCCTTGGATCTCTGCAAGTGATGTGAGGACTCTAAAACTTCACCTGAGCCTCCCTCGGCATATGGGTGA